CAAAGAGTGAAAATTTTAAGGGGGTCTGAATACTTTCCGTACCCACTGTAACAGTGATCTGCTTTGCATCCCTATGTAGACTCTGACATAGACATGCACTGATGATGCACAGGTGGAATTTGAAAATATCAGCAGGGAAAGGTATGTGTACTACACTGTGAAGCCCCAAAGGGTCAAACTGCACAAAGAAAGCCATGATTAAAATGCAAAATGGGTTTCAATACAAATACCAACAAAGAGTCTACTCCATGAAACATCCATGGGTTGAACTCAAGGAAGGGGACATCTGGGAATGTTTTATAAAGTTTTGGTTCAAGACAAATAGGCTATCAGCTGCCCAGCCCATAAAATATTTATGACATGATCTCACCCTTTGTGGCAAACTGAAAAGAAGAACCATGAAATAGGATAGGCATACATGCACTATGTGCAGTCAGTATAATATTAGGTTATTGTGTATATACTGTATAGATATACAAATGCTCAGCTCAGTAGTTACCAGGTAAGCGCTGGTAAATTTTGAGCACAGCTGCTATGTACTGCCTGCTGGTGATGATTGACAAACTATATTTTGCAGTCCCATCTTCATTAAGCACCATAATTGTTAGGAAAAACAGTGAATGTTGGCTTATCAATAATGCAAATGCTAGTTTTTACTCTCAATATTGATGAGCAAATGTTCAACAAAACCTATTAACAAAAGTACCATAGCTTACTGCATGAAACTGGTTTAAAGGAAGCACAGCCCTACAAAAATTAGACAGACGGTGTTCAGAACTAATCTTAAAGACTTTGAGGTCCAACAACAGGATATCAATTTATACTGTCTTAGATGGAAACAATTTTTTTTTAATGAAATAAATACTGCATAGTGCACAGGGGTATCTTCTAGATTAAGCAATGCTGTCTTAATCTTAATGGTCAAAACAAAATGTTACACAAACTCTGCATGTTGCCTGGGTCTAAATACAACAGATTTGTCTGATTTAACAAGATGACAAAACTAAAGGTTAGATACAAAACCATTTAGAAACAAGCTAAATCAAGTTGAGACAAAACAGGACTGTCAAGATATTAAGTGTCTTGTTGTTAATAAAATAATGACATATAAAAAAACAAATACACTTAACTGCGTAAAAACGACTACACTAACTAACCAATGCGCTAAATTCCAAAGGCACACAGGAGTCAACACGACACTAGTGAGCAAGCAAGACAAAGAAATCCAAAACTCCAGCCAGACTATCACCTTGTTGACAGTGACAATGCTTCAAGACAACGAACATACAAAGGAGCGATTCTAATTGTATAATGCTGAGTCTTTGTAATAATACATCACCTTACATTTGACACAATCTACGTTGTCAAAGATAAAATAAGAGGCAGACTGCAGTTCACCAACAGGCTGTTCATGGTTTGTTTACACCAACCTAGCGAGGTGGCTAGTCGGCTAACAAGGGCTGCCAGATCCGAAAGAAGCCAGATAACTCTTTACTAAAGCTTGTTTTTAATTCGACAGTTTACCACATCAACCTAAATGCCATTAAACATACCAAATACTCCCTCTTTAAGAATGAAGCGTCTCGTATATAGAAAACAAAAGTGTGTTTGCTTACTGGCTAGCAGATAGTGCGTCTCTCTGTTGTTTTGACAGCCAGAATTAGCTGGATAGCAAAGCTGCTAGCTGGCATGTTAGATTTAGAGGTGCCCATGTTACTCTAGAAAAGTCCTGGGTAAATTAAACAGTTTGAAACAACACAAAACAATCGTAATAATACCAATTTACAGTGGTCGGTGTCAGTTGTGTTACCTGGTCCTTGTGTCTGAGGAAGAACTGTGGGTAAGGTACCTCCGGTAACAGTGGGTTACAGGCAACAATCTTCTCTCCTCTACTCTAAACGGTTAGTGACTTGATACACTGGACTGGACTCAAAGACGTCGGAGGGAGGCAATCAGTGGGTGACGCCACTCGCATGAGCATGAGATAGCCAATCAGATCACACCATGAAAAACGACCAATCACCAACGTTCAGCAAAGGGAAGACATTTCCTACATTGGGCAACGTTTTGTAGTTTTTGATAACTGGCAAATTACATTTGCTCATCAACTGGAAACTTGTTTGGCAAGCAGCCACAATATGAAAGTTGAGCAACTTTCAAAAAATGTTTGGTCAGCCAAAGACCATAGATAGGTCTATAAGGATAAGGATAATCACCTTAATGGCCAAGTGAGCAATAAAGTACAAAGAAAGTGATATAAAGAAAGAAAATCCTGATATTTAAGAAGCTAAAAAGAGCAAATCAGTATTTCTGCTTGATATAGGACTCCATAAACTCTTCAGATCAAAATAATTGCTAAAAAGTTTCTGTTGACTGACTCATCAACTGATTATTCCAGAAATAGTATGAATGTTAGAAGGCAGGCAGGTCAAATCCTCCCTACACATATTGAACCACAGGTCCACATAATGTGACAGTCCAATTCCAACTACATATCTGACATAAGAGTATGCAGTGTGATTAAATTACTTCATAGCGAGAATGACTCCACTACAGGGTCACCTGCCCTGTACTCTCTCCTGCTATGGCCTGTATTTGTGGGTGAACCCTGCCAAAACCTACACACCCAGTTATGTTACAAGTAACTAACTGACTGCATAATTGTGCAAATGAGTTTATTGTAATGCAAGGCTCTGGTAGCTGGGTGTGTTAAACTCACTTCACTGGTCTTGTTAGTCTGGTCCACAGTTTCACTGCTAAACACTTTCAACAACTTTTTCAACAGATATCTTTTTGTTTTGAGGAAACAAGGGGCTTTAATAGGGTGGTGGCAGCCACTCACTGCAAATCATGACATGCAGACCACACCTGACATTATGTGTTGTGTCAGTGTTTTATGTATTGCTTTTCAATAGACTGAATCACGCTTATTCGTATAATTACTGTCACTTTTTCTCAGCTCCAGCCCCCTAGAATTGTATAGTGAATGTCCACTAAAAAGTGTAAAAACACTGAGTTACAAACTGCATGAATTTCAAGATGTAAAGTTGCTCTAACACACAAACACACACACACAAACAGGCTGTAGCAGATGAGATGTTAACTATTTGACACCCACCACACCTCATTCTCGGTCATGTGAAGTTCTAATTATTTAGCCATCCATTGCACAGGTGTCACTCTGAGAAGAACAGCTCATAAATGATTAATTGTATTGTTAATTAGGGTGCAAGCAGTCACCCTATCAATTCCCTTCTTCTATAAACTTTTGGCCACTTTATTTTCTTACTTATGTTTTTTTGGTATGTTAGGACTTTAAAATGGTAACAGCTAGAAACATAGTTCCAACTCTGTCATGTTAAGCCTGCTGAGGAGATGGGTGCTATTACTCTTGGTGATGATATCGTAATACTGTGATGTTATATGAATTTTTTAAACTCATACATTTATAATGGGATGCTGTGGGGGAACCTTTGATGGACTGCTGTTTCCTACTTCTGCGGTAACCGTCACTGTCTCCCTCAGATCTTTTTCTCTTTCTCTCTCACTTCAGCTGTGACACCTGTGAAGCATCCGCCAACCCAGAAACACCTTCAGAAAATAAAGTCAGCCTCTTGTTGTGTTGTCTGCAGGGCATTCACCTGTCTGACAGAGACAGAGGGAGAGGTAAAAGGAAAGGGAGGGGAGAAAGAAACAGAGAGAGAGCGAGAGAGAGAGGGGCAACTTGTTACCAAGCTCCTTGACATTGAACATGATGGATTTTTTTTTGTGGTTTTGCGTACCATAGTGCGGCAGGTTCAGTAACTCACTCAGGAACATTTCAAAGACCGAACGGAGAAGTTTATTATTAGCCAATAATTCCAGCAGCTGCAGTCAGTCTATATGAGAAAATATGGGAAAATGATGCAGCGTGTGTTTACCATGATTTGGTTTGGAGGAGGAATCCAATAAAGATGATGAAGAAGCCTCATCTCCACACCTCGCAGGGCCGGGCTGGATGGCAGAGCCTTCAGTGGAGTGAGGGGAGAGGGAGCGCAGGAAGAAAAAAGTGATTACTGTCGTTAAGTTGACAGGAAATGTTGCATCTCCTTGACGTTTAGTAATGATCACAGCAGCTGAGAACAATAAAACTCCAACACTGTGCAATTATTGGCCTGCCGCACTTGCATCGGATAAAAGTAATAATGCACATTATCCCCTCATTCCCCTTTAAAGTCGCACCAGCGAGGGAGCAGAGGCAGCAAATGAGATTTGCTGTGCAGGAAGCTGAGTAGGCTGACAGTTATGACTGACTGGAAGAAGACTTCCTGCAGTGTTGTGTGATGTGACAGTGATGACATGTTTAGCAGCATGTCATAATTCAACCGCTGGCTGTCTAGGTGGTGCCCAGAAAATAACGGGGGCTTCATAAATAACCCGAAAACATT